GGTTTCACCATGTTGACCAGGATGGTCTCGATCTCTTGACCTCGTGATCCACCCGCCTCGGCCTCCCAAAGTGCTGGGATTACAGGCGTGAGCCACCGCGCCCGGCCAGGTTATTTTTTCTTAGAGCTGTTTTTTATTATACTATTCTGTTGCTTGTAACCTGTGATGAACTTTTGTATACGTATTTAAGATCTTCATCAGAAGATTATAGACCTGCCAGAGTTAAACACCGTATTTTATTTCTCCAGCTTTGTTTTCTCCAGTCAGATTTTACTGTCCGAGAATGTTTTTTTACTTATGCTTTACTGCTTTTCTGGAAAGCTTTTCTTCATGTAGTTCAACTTACTTATTTATTTAGATAGATTAGATAGATAAATTAGATAGATAGATAGATAAAGTTTTGTGCTTGTTGCCAGGCTGGAGTGCAAAGGCATGATCACGGCTCCCTGAAACTTCCACCTCCTGTGTTCAGGCTGTTCTCCTGCCTCAACCCCCCAGTAGCTGGAATTACAGGCATGTGCCACCATGCCTGGTTAATTTTTTTATTTTTTGGAGACATGGAGTTTCAGCATGTTGGTCAGGGTGGTCTCAAACTCCTGACCTCAGGTCATCTGCCCACCTCAGCCTCCCAAAGTGCTGGGATTACAGGTGTGAGCCACCACGCCTGGCCTATTTCAGCTTTTAATTCATACCCATCAATTTGTTCCCAGCCACAAAGGAATGCTCTTCTATACCATTCCTTTTCTTTTTCACATGAAACTTTTGCTAATTTTCCTACCACCTAAGTTTTAAGAGACAGGGTCTCACTCTGCCTTCAGGCTGGAGTGCAGTGGCATGGTCATGGCTCACTGCACTTTCAGTTTCCTGGCTCAAGCAATCCTCCTGAGTAGCTGGGAATACAAGTGCATGCCTGGCTATTTTTTTTTTTTTTTTGGTAGAAATAGGGTGTCATCCTGTTGCCTAGGCTGGTCTTGAATTGGCCTCAAGCAGGCCTCCCAGCTCAGCCTTCCAGAGTGCTAGTATTGCAGGTGGTAGGCACTGTATACCGTCCATTTTAAATTTACCGTCTCAGCAATATGTAACAAAATGAAAATGAGGAGGCTATTAATAAATCGTGTTTTTGTTTTCTTATTTTTTTTTCTAAACTCTGTTCATGTGACTGTAAATTTAACCTAGTTCTCATTTTAGAATTTGTGCAATTTTATAGTATATCCTAAAAGATAAAAGGTTAGATTTCTAAATCAGGGATTGTGAATCCAAGCCCCACTAAGAGTTGGTGAAGGTACTTGTACTTCTGTTTGGAGAATGTAGTTAAAGTGTAGAGTCTGGAGCCAGAGTGCTGTGGTTTGAATCTCAGGTCTGGCACTTAAACTATGGCTGCTTTCCCATTATAACAGCATCATTAAGTAGTTGTGGCAGATTGTATTGTCTGCAGAGATTAAAATAATTCTCATTTGGCCCTTTCCAGAAAATGTTTACCAACTCCTGAATTAAATGTATGGGGGAGCCATTTATTTAGTTGGGAAGATACAGATTGGGAATACGTTTGGAAATAGGAATTTAGTTTTTTCAGTTTTGTCTAGGTGTGGTGGTTCACACCTATTATCCCAGCACATTGAGGGACTGAAGTCCAAGATCAGCCTGGCCAACACAGTGAGATTCCATCTCTTTAAAAAAAAAAAAACAAAAAATTAACTGGGTGTGATGGTACATTCCTGTAGTCCCAGGTACTTGAGAGGCTGAAATGGGAGGTTCCCTTGAGGTTGGGAGGACCCTTTAAGCCCAAGAAGCTGAGGCTACAGTAAGCTGTGATTCTGCCACTGCACTCCAACCTGGGTGACAGAGCAACACCCTGTCTTAAAAAAAAAAAAAAAAAAAAGGCTGAGCGTGGTGGTTCACACCTGTAATCCTAGCACTTTGGGAGGCCAAGGTAGGTGGATCAAGAGGTCAAGAAATCGAGATCATCCTGGCCAACATGGTGAAACTCCATCTCTACAAAAAAATACAAATATTAGCTGGGCATGGTGGCGCATACCTATAGTCACAGCTACGCAGGAGGCTGAGGCAGGAGAATCACTTGAACCCAGGAGGCAGAGATTGCAGTGAACCGAGATCGCACCATTGCACTCCAGCCTGGTGATAGAGCAAGACTTCATCTCAAAAAAAAAAAAAAAAAGTTAAATCTTGAACATGGTAGGTCTGAGTTGCTTATTAGACATCCAAGTGTAATTACCTGTAATAGGTATCTGTAGTAGTAAATAATAATACTGAGCATTTTTTCTGTGTTGTTTTTGTGAGCTCTTTTCAAGTCCTTTACTCGTTAACTAACTGGCTAAGTAGCTTTCACAGTGAATTGTGACATTTATCTTAAAATTTCTGTGTTTGACCTGGCACAGTGGTAATCCCAGCTACTCAGAAGGCTGAGGTGGGAGCATCACTGGAGCCCAGGAGTTTGAGAGCAGCCTAGGTGACACGCTGAGGTCCAGTCTATAAGAAATTTTTAATTAGCCAGGTTTAGTGGTGTGGGCCTGTATTCCCGGCTGTCCAGGAAGCTAAGGTGGGATGATCCCTTCAGCTATGAGCTATGATCATGCCACTATACTATAGCCTTTGTTAGTGTTAGACCCTGTCTCTTTAAAAAAAATACTCTGTATTTGTCTTGCCTCCCCAAGAATTAGACTTTGTGCAAAGAACTGTTCTGACTCTATAGTATGTTTTCTTTGTTGAATGACTAAGGAATTAATAAAGAAGCTAACTGGCCGGGCATGGTAGCTCATGCCTATAATCCCAGCACTTTGGGAGGCGAGGCGGGTAGATCACCTGAGGTCAGGAGTTCCAGACCAGCCTGGCCAACATGGTGAAACCCTGTTTCTACGAAAAT